TGTGTGTGTGTGTGTGTATGTGAGAGAGTGTGTTTAATTCGTTTGCCCAGTTGATCTGCTGCTGGGCTACTTCAAACCATTCTGGCACTCCAGCCTGTTGCTAGGGCCCGGATTGGCCAACTGACACTCGTCTCCCCTTCTGAAATCGTCTGCATTGGCAGCAGTACACACACACACACACACATCCACGAATTTTCGCATTGGTTACCATTGGTCCGTCCCATCTGTGGGAATAGAGGCCGAGGCGGGCCCGAGTGATGCTACCCGGAGACCGGCATTCCGTCTTGCCCTCGAATCTGAGCGCCGCCATGCTGGGGCAGGCTCGCCGGTCGTCGGAGCAGTGACGGTTGCCTTGGTGAACAGTGTGTTGTTGTCCTCCTGCATGCTCACATCGGAGCTCTAGCCTTCCCAACGCACACGGAACTATGGTGGAAGGCGCCAAAGTCAAGGTGAGCCGATTGTGGACATGCTAATTGATGACGTGGCCCGAGGGGCGTTTGTCTTGCATGTGCCGCCCGCCTCTTTGGCCTCGCTTCCAGGGCCCTCGGTGGTACAGGTGCTCGGTGCCACGACTCATCTTCACAGCCGCACAAGGCCCGCCAACCGGTACAGCTCTGGCCGGCCGTGTCGAGAGGTTGGGCCGTCCCGGACTAATTGTCAACTCCTCTTGGCGTTGTCAGTCGTCAGGGCAACCTGACAGGCCGGTAGAAATGCTGCCACTTCGTGTTTGCGAGTTGGCCGCACAGTGTCTCTTTGTTGTCGTGGTTCCCTGCTGCAGCATCGGTCTGATGGTGGGGTACATTCTGAGACGCTGTATTGGCATCCCCAATCCTCTGCTCGGCCATAGCGGACTTTCCTTGCCTTTGTGTCCAAGCCTCTTTCACGCAATCCTCTTCCTCGTCTGTCCCAACCGCGCCCAAGTGTCGAAGGCGCAGCCGTCGACGAGCTGAAGGGATTTGTAGTTGTGTACTCTTCTGTCCTCGGCGGGTCCGAAGAATCTGTGCTGACCTGTCGGTGGTACCGGCGTAGGAGACTATGCTCTCCGATGCTTTATCCGATTGCCCGATC